AACAATCAATAATCCTATAATCGCGATTTTGCTATTGTTATAAGTCAAATGGTCATAGTACTTTGTGGCACAGTAGTTCCGTGATCACGTTTTTCATCCATCAATAGACTTTAAATTTAGACCCATGTGTAATTATTTTAATTTGGATCCGTATTTGTAATTATTTTCACTTTCTGGGCCTTATTTGTAAATTCTCCTTAAAATTAAGTGAATAATCACCTAATTTCTGAGAGTGACAAATGGCTAGTGATTAAGTCACCTTAATCAAAAGCCACTGTCCATCACTGGTCGCAAGAGGTTTGCCACTGACTACAAGTACTGATACGTGATTTATGATGTTAATGTGGCGTTGCCATGATGTTTCTTAAAAAGGCTAGTATGTTGCATTATTCAATTCAGAAAATCATCCATACATTGATGTTCGTCTAATTATATCCCTTTAAGCTAATCAACTTTTGTGCCAAATCTTATCATTATGAGATATGCAAACTTATTAAGTACGTATATACGTCTAAAATAAAAGAAAATTTATTTAATTAAAATTTGATCTATAGAAGCATGCTCTTTACCATTCAGCAATGGCACTCGGGAATAGAGAACATTTTCGGTCCTTTAATGAATGAGATCTTATTGGTCAAAACAAAATTCATATGAACTGTGTTACACCTTATCAAGCAATTTGATTTACTGATACGAATATCACGGTTTGTTTTCAACAGTCCCACGGTCCTTATCAGGACCTACAAACATTATAGATCATTAAAAGAATTGTTAATTTACACCACAGATGATCATCAAAATTTAAATCACGTGTACAAAAGTTAAAAGAAAATTCTCGCAAAATTTTAGTACAATCTACGACATATCTTTTACCCTAACACCACACCAGTGTCCCTTTTATATTTTAACAACAACGATATTATTGCCGACCCTTACCTTTATGAACAACTAAATGTTTTGTTTGTTGCTCGATTTTATACTACACGTTGTAGATCACAGGTGATAATCACCTGTGGAAAGTGGTTAGTTAGTTATCTTTTTTATAAGTATTAGCGTCGAAAATCTGTCTATATATTACATAATCTCAACTCGTTCTTTTGCAATTTGTCTTTGATTCGTCTAATAGCCTATAATATACCGCATGTTATGCAAACTATTTCTATATTAAGTTATATAATCAATTACTTACGTTTTATAAAAAAGGGTCAATTTCGTAACGTATTTTTCTTTTTGTTCTTTGGCACTTTTATTTTTGTATTTTTTCTATAATATAATATAATAGTAATTACTATGTCATCAAGAGATAGTAATAAAAAGAATGAAATATTGGTAACAGATTTGATTTATAGTTATGACTGGTCATCAACTGCTCTCGGCCCCTTGGATTCATGGGATCCTTCATTTAGAAATGCTGTGGTAAGTTATAACTACAAAACCATTTTTTCCTGCACATGATTTTTTGCATGAATATTTATATGCACGAATATTTATATTTATATTCATGCATGATAAATTTATCAGAATATCTGCCTTCATTCCAAGTTTCCATCTAGTGTTTTTTATGGTCCTGATCTTATTTTTATATATAATAATCAAGGTAAATATTTAAAATTACTATTGTTTTTTTTTTTTTTTCTTTTTTCTACTTTTTCTTACTTTTCTACTTTTTCTTATTTTTCCTTACTTTATTATTTATCGTTCATACAACTAATGCTTCTTATAAAACCGATTGTCCACATAAATTATAGTGTCATCGTTATTACGACCGGAATTACATCCTTTCGGTTAGTTTGCTATACTATTCGTATCATGTTTCTAATAAAATAAAAAAGAATTAAACCGTAATATTTATTGGATAGCATTTGGAAGACCATTTATTGAAAGTCATCGAAATATTTATGATACTATAGATACAGAACACGAAAAGTAGGTGTACAAAAATACCGTGTTAATGTTATTATAATCATCTAATTTTTTTAACTATTCATCAGTGTTTATGATTTAACAAAAAAAGCATACGAAAAGTAAGTGTACAAAAATATTGTTAATGTTATTATAATCATCTAATTTTTAATTATTCATTATATAATTAAACCTAAGAGTAAAAGCAACTGGGAAAGGATCATTTCATTACGATTATTCTCTTTTAAGTATTGCTGGAGATCAGCCAGAAGAAAAATATATTATTACATCATTTAATCCGATTTTTAAAGCAGATGGATCATTTTGTGCTATGTTTGGTATACTTGTTGAAACAACTGAAAAGATTTTGACACTGCGAAGGTTAAAATCTATCCATGACATGGGAAATAGGCTTAATGGTTGGTAAAATTATTGTCATTTACGTTAATGAAATTATTGTTGCGGCTGAAGCCTGAGGTCAGCCAGCTGATGTTGAGAATTGACTTTATTTTGATATGAAAGTTTAAAAATCTTTGGGGTCATTTTCTTTTGGTTTTTGGCTTAGGTTTAGATTAGGATTAATGGTTAGAATTATTAGTAAAATAACAGATGTGAATTTAGTAGGTTTAGTAGACTCAAATTGGACCCCAAATCGCGGCATCAGCCAATATCTACATCAGCCAATGTCTACATCAGCCGCGACAATTATTGTCGTTTATACTGAATATAAAAATTAATCGTTATTAACTTTAAATATTCCATTATATAAAGCATATTTCAAGATTGAATCTTTAGAAAGCGCTTGTAATGCTTGTAACATTATGATGTCAACATTACGTGAAAACGATAAAGACTTTCCTTTCGCTTTGGTTTATCTTATTGAAAACAATAAATTAAGATCAGGTTTTCAACCTCATACTGCTCGTCTAGCAGCTACCACATTTGATAGAAATATGATTGATAAACATTTGGCAGATAAATTACTTGAAACCCCTGATGTGGTTGATTTAACTAAATGTCCTGATGAAAATTATGATGTATATGTAGAAGTAGGATGGCCAACATCATTTACTACTCATTTATTTTTAAAATGCAATGCTTGGCCAATTCATCTAGTAGCAAAAGAAGATACACCTGTAAAAGTTCTTTTAAAAGATGGTTCTCAAGCTATATTATTCCCTATCAATGTTTTTTATGGCGGTGATGAAATATTATCAGCTATATTTATTTGTGGTATTAATCCTTGTAGTCCACTTGAGGATGAATATATAAAATTATTGCACGTAAGATCAATATTTTATTAATTTTACTTTATTATTTTATTGATTAATTTGATTTATTTTGTTAATTTTAGCTGGTTATGAATCATTTTAGCTTGGCATTAACTCGTAGTATGTCAAGAAAAGAGGAAAAAAAACGGTTGGAAATGTTGACTGATTTAAATCGTCAAAAAATCAAGTTTTTCCAAAACATTAGTCATGAATTACTCAGTTATTTATCAACCATTATAATAATGTTGCTTTTTTTTAAAAGGATTTTTCTTAAAATTATTTTCTAATTACTCTATTTCAATAATTTTTTTAGCTCCGTTAACATTAACTCTTTCACCTCTTGATGAAGCTATTTCTTCGAGTGCAAAAGATTCAATTATACATTCTCATCTTCAAACTGTTCAGCGTAACACTCGTCGATTACTCAAACTAGTTAGTAATTTACTTCAGGTAAGTTATCAAATTAGCATTTAATATTGTGATATTGCACACCTCATTAATCTATTATTATTATTTATTATTATCATTATTATTATTATTTTATTATCATTATTATCGTTATTATTATCATCATTATTATTATTACCCTTGTTTATAGTTTTCAAACGCAGAGAGTGGTCGAATAGAGGCACAATATCGTGAAACCGATGTATCAAAATTTACTCAGGAATTAGCTTCTAATTTTAATGGACTAGCTCAAAAGCTAGGTTTAAAATACATTATAGATGTTCCAAAATCCGAGGAACTTAGACGAGCTTTAAGAGACAAAGTTTATATAGATCGTGACATGTTTGAAACAATTATTTATAATCTTTGTATGCATTTTATCTCATTTATTATAGATTCTCTTTTTTTTTTATGAAAAAGGTTTTTTAAAATCATTGTATTGACATTTTTAAAGGTTCCAATGCATTTAAAAATACTTGGAAAGGACAAATCCGTGTTCGTATATATGCTGAAAATGGAAATGAAGTAATTCTTGAAGTATCAGATACAGGTTTATAATATTCTTTTTATTAATCTTGTATAAAAAAAAAAAATAAATACAAATTCATTTAATTTACTTATTTTGCTTACTAATTATAATTTAATTTAGGTGTTGGAATTTCAGAAATTAACCTTTCAAATTTATTTCAACGGTTTTATCGTGTAAATTCACAACAATCACGTAGTCATGAGGGTACTGGAATCGGTCTCGCACTAATAAAAGAACTTATTACACTTCATGGTGGTGATATTAGCGTAACCTCAAAAGTAGGTCAAGGAACAACATTCAAATGTCGGTTTATAACCGGATATATACATTTACCAAGAGATCGAGTATGCCTTAATAAAAAAGATGAATTAAGTAATGAACACCAATTATATTCTAAAAAACAACTATATTTAGAAGAAAATTTGCAATGGATTCATAGTAGTGAACCTATGACTAGAGAACGTAACCGTTCAAGATCATCAGATTATGAAAGATTATCATTGGATACTTTTACTCTTTTTGATGATATAAAACATAGAATCTTACTTGTTGAAGATAATACTGACATGAGGTAATAAAAATCAAAAAAAAGGTGTGAAGTTTATTTTATTCTAATTAATTAATTAACAATTTCATAGAAATTATTTGAAGGAATTGTTAAAAAAAGAATTTTATGTTCAAACTGCTCCTAATGGTCGGGAAGCTTTGGCACTATTAAAAAGGTCATCTAAGCTACCAGACTTAATCCTTAGTGGTAAGCAATTTAATTTTTAAATTTTATGGTTAAATGATAAAAGTATTAATGCCATTAATTGTAAAAGTATTAATAAAAGTATTAATTTTATCAATTTTATTAATTTTATTATATTAATTATATTAATAGATATTATGATGCCGTGTACAAATGGTTATGAGCTTTTAAATATGATAAGATCAAATCCTGAGACTCGATTAATTCCGGTTATCCTATTAACCGCAAAAGCTAATGAGAATTCTGGTAAAATTTAGTTGTTTTTTTATCTAAAGTTGTAATATATATATATATATATATGAATGTTAAAACTTTAATGCTTTTTTTTTCTTTTTTACTTTAGGTTTAGATTATGGAGCAGACGATTACATAGTAAAACCATTTGGTTCTCGAGAGCTAATGGCTCGTATACGTACTAATATTAATCTTTCACAACTTCGTCAACAATTAATATCTCAACAAATTAAAGAAGAAGAGATAAAACAATTGTTAATTTCGATTTCAAATCATATTCTTTCCGGAATAGATTTAAGAGAAACTCTTGCAAAGGTTGTTAATGACATTCATAAAATATTACCATGTGATAGGGTATTTGTTATTTCACGTGAACCATCTAGTCGTGATATTAGCGATCATACGATAATTGCTTTGTCCGAAGATCATAAATCAATTACGTAAGCTATTATTTTAACTAGTTTTGGCTATTTTTAACGCATAGTAAGTATGTATATAAAGATCTGATTCTAAAATTTCAAATTTCTATACAGTAAAAGTGAAAAACATGCAAAATTACAACGTTCGAGAATTAGGATTAAAAGACCAAATAGCGTTAGTCAAATTAGATCTTTAGATTATGATAATGGTGCTAAAGATTTTAGAGTAAAAGTTTTACTTAATACATATTGTGAAGATGTTTGCAAACAAGTATCTCAACTATCAGTAATGATATGTGTTGATAATGGTTCTTGGGGATGGATAAAAGCTCATAGACCACCAAATTATACTTGGCTTGATTTGGAGATTGATTTATTTCAACAAGTATCGGATCAAATAAATGTAGCTATTAATTATGCACGATTAACACAAGAAAAATTGATTGAAGAAGCAAGAATAGAATCTATCAAAGCTGCTAATAATGCCAAGAGTCTAATTTTAGCTAATGTATCTCATGGTATGATATTTTAAATTTATTACTTATTTTTTACATTTTCATCATTAATAGTTAATTTTACGTATTTTAGAATTACGAACTCCACTGGGAGCAATTGTAAGCATTCTTTCTTCTTTTGAAGATGAAAAATTAACCAATCAACAAAAAGACATGGTTAAAATAATGTTAAACTCCTCTGATGTCGTACTATCCACAATCAACAATATTCTTAATGCAGTAAAATTAGAGGAACATAAGATCACTTTGAAGAATAAGACTTTTAATTTATTAAATTTATTTGAAAGTACAATTGAAATATTTGGTGAAAGAGCTGGAAATAAACAAGTTGAATTAATTTTAAGTTACGAACTAGAGACTATGCCAAAATGCGTTAAGAGTGATCCTGAAAGGTAATATTTTAATATTTTATAATTTGATCTTGTTAAAATGAAATAGAAAAAACCATTAATAAATATTATTTTAATGTAGATTAAGACAAATATTAATTAATTTATTATCAAACTCGTAAGCATGCTTTTTTTCATAAGATTATATATGATTAATTGCAATTTTATAATACATATCTATTATAAACCTTGTATTTTATTTTTTTTTTTTAAGAGTAAAATATACTGATGAAGGTGAAATTGTAATGAAGATCTCTTCAAAAACAAAAGGACATACGGGAGTTAAAAAAGTAGAAATATTAGTTGAACTATATGATACTGGTGTCGGGTAAGTTAAATCATAATTAATTATACGTTATATTAATGTAATAATATAATGCTGCAATATACATAATTATTTTTCATATATAATAGCATTAGTCCTGATTTTATGAGAAGTATTTGGAGAGGTCTTTTAAATATTGATGAAACAAAAACCGAGCGACAAGATGGTACAGGATTTGGACTGATTACATGTAAACAACTAGTAGAAATTAATGGTGGTAAAATAGGAGCAGAAAGCAAATTAGGAAGAGGAAGTAAATTTTGGTTTACATGGAATGTTGAAACAATACCAATAACATCTGCACCAAAATCTTCAAATTGTTATTCTGAATTATCACAAATGTTATTATATGGATCAATTAATCAGATTTTAAAACGCATTGTGTTAATCCATTCATTTCGAAGTTGCAAGAATGCTATATCAACTTTTTTTCAACATAATATAAGAATTGAATTATTTGATATATGTGACTACGAGGTTGAAATGGAAAAATATCGTAAAGAGCTAAATAATCAATCATTTCACACCATAGTATTAGCCAATCTTTATGAAGAAAATGCGACTGAAGTTACTAAGGTTGCATTAGAATTAAGAGAATTACATGGTGATGACTTATTAATTATTCTAATGGCATTCTCAAGCGTCTGTGGAAGAAACTTAGTAAACAAATTAACAAGAACGATTGGAGGTCAAACTGTTGGTGTCTTTAAACCTATTACGCCAAAGAAACTATTAAATTATTGCTTGCAAAACAATCTAAAAAGAAACATTGAAGCTGACAAAAATAAAAGCAGTAACGTTAAAAATTTTGCTAGCAATAATTTTGTAAAGAGTATTAATACTGATTTGGGTAGGAGTATTAATACTGATTATGACGTTAAAGTTTCATCTCCAAAATGTACATCTCCAAGATGCAGGTTAAAAGCTAGTCCCGTTAATGAAAAACGTAATACATACATGGTAATTTATGTTTTATGTTTTATTTTTCTATTTCTAAATTTATTTCTGTACTTATTTTGAAATTGATCATATACTAAACACGCTCACTATTTGCAGGATGATGTCCCTCCAATTCCCAAGGTGACTATTATTTGAATACATCGTCTGGAAATTTTTCATACTTATTCATTTTTTTAAATATATTATGCTTACCAATTTTTTAAATATATTTATTCTTAGGTCACGTTAGAAACAACTGAACAAGAAAAAATTGACCTTTTACAGTCAAAATTAAGATCATTAGAACTTTCTGATTTGTCCATACTAAAAGACATATCTATGCTAAAAGATTTATTGGAATGAAATATTTTGAAATTTCAGCATAATACGTAATTTGTCTTTTAACATGTTATATATTACCAATATCATATTATAAATAGTTTGTTTTATAAGCAATTATATCATTGAATCCGAAAGTAAGCTATCCCCGAAAATAGGCAATACCTTAATTTTAAATGTTAAATACTAAAAAAGTAGAATAAGCAACCCTTTAAATATTAAAATTAAGAATAAATTTTATTAAGATAGGTTAATAGAAATTAAGTATTTCAAACTCACCGAATTTAATTATCCCTTTTAATAAACTCAGATGAAATAGGTCGCTTAGAGGGTTGCTTATTTTCGGGACTTTACGGTATACATATACTAATTACTCATAATTAATTAGAATCATATTAGATAACATATATTTTCTTAATTTTGTGTTAAATTCGAATATTTATTTTAAATACTGTAATATTTTTTCTACATTCTTCTGTTATGTAATGATAGTTTATTTTATTTTTTATTTTTTGCTTTTTGTAAATTTTTTTTGACGCAATCTCTTTTTAACTTTATTTTTAATTACTATTAATGGCTTTAATTTATTCTAATGAAATTAACTTTTTTCGTAAGTATCATTTGTTTCGTTCGATATATAATTCGACATTAAAATTTGTTTTTAAAAACAAAAGCTGAAGGAATGTCTATCCGGACTCAAAGTTCAAATAGTTTAACAATATTAGTACGTTTCATGACGATAGGTTAACGAATTTTCCTTTAATATGTGTAAATAAAAATAAATGCAAGCGTTAATCCTTAGAATATTACTGTATTAATTATAATTACTATTATAATTGTTCTAAAGTTTGTGTAAAAATGTCTCTACTTGATTAATTTCAATAAATTTTTTTTTTACTTGAATTCTATAAATTCATAAAATTTAAATAAAAAAATTTTTTATTGAAATTAATCAAGTGAAGACAACTTGGCACAAACTTTAGAATGATTGTGATTACAATAAGTGATTATCATCATTTCTTGAGACAATAATTTTGCAAATCATAATAAATAAAGGTATCGAAACAGTAGATCTAAAATTAAAGATCTTTTATTATCCATATCAAGTATTTTTGAGTTATCTAACTTGTCTAAAATGATTATAATTGATTCAGAAATTAATAATAAAAAAGATTTTAAATTGGATATAATTAATATGAAAGAACCTGAATTAGAAGTTATTAATATGAAAAAGTTTTTTATAAATAAAATATAATATATACAAAATATTTTGATATTTATTTGATAAGTTTTTTTTAAAATTAATTATTTTAATATTTAGCATTTAATACCTTAGTATATTATAACTAATTGAAAAAATTACATAAAAAGTTAGAAGGGACATTAGCAATTCTATATATTCTTGATAATATCAAAATTTTGAAAATATTAAAGAAAAAATTTTATTTCATACACTTTCAAAACAATAGAGAAAAATTGAAATAGATTACATTTGTTATCAAGTTTTAAATATATCTAAGGCTGATTATTATATAATTTAAAATTTGATAGTGTTGTTATTGCATTTATTGTTAATATAAAATATAAAAAATATTCAATTATATGTTTATTAAGAAAGTAATAAATTCAATTGAGTAAACAAGAAAATTTATAGATTTATTTATAATTTTATTTATTAAAATATATAAATATTTTTAGTTATTTTAATTATTTATTTATTATAAATACTTAAAACTGAATCAAATACAGTCAATATTTTAAATATTATTAAAAATGAATTTATAAAAATCTTTTATTATATAATATATAATAGGGGATAAAAGTACCACTCAAATTTTTACCAAAATTAAAAAATTTTATTTATTCAATATTTTAATTTAAATACATAAAAATTTTTTTATTTTTTATTTAATATTTGCATGCATGATCTTTTATATTTATAATTGCATCAATTCTTTATAGCATTAAGTCTATACTGTTTGAAGAATTGACATATTGATTTTTTCTCACTTTTCTTTTAAGGTTAACTTAAGCTTATTATTATTTTTTAAAAAATCTTTTCAATTTTGAAATATTGTCTTTTAAAATTTTTCAGATATTTTTATAAGATTAAAATTAAGAAATCATGATAATTATTTCATATAATTGATTTTTTTTCTTCAAGTTAATTGACATCTTATGTATAGAACAATTATTTTGTTAAAAAATTGTATTAAATCCAGTTAACAAATATGTAATAACAAATAATACAAGATAGTCTTTAAGAATCTTGATATAGATTTTTTTATTAATTTTTTGTTTGGGTCTTTTGTAATCTTTAAAAAAAATTAAGAAATTTTTAATATCATCAATAAAACATGTTCACATTATTACTGAAACTCTTTTACTCTTAAAACTTGACATCAAACATTCATGTTTATATTTTTCATTAGTATAACACTATACTCTAACTTGACAAGATTGTTTGTATATTTTTATATTTATATTATTAAAAAAAATAATATATTATTAGTTGTAAATGTTCTTTTTTATACCAATCTATGCATCTGTTTATATTATCATTTGATAAAAAAACTTTTTTTTATAACAATACAGAAACAAAATTCAAAGTTATACAAAACCCTAGCTACAGTCTTCTAAATATATTGGAAGTTTAAGTCTATTACAATTCTGTACAAAAATATATATCTATCTTATAAATTTTTTTTTTAATATAACAGTTTTTTCTTTTTTTTTAGAAAAAAATAATAGTTAAACTAAGATAAATTTCTATTTTTTGGTTCTTTTGTACTTATCCAAAAATCTTTTAACAGTTATAAGATTACAGCCAATTTTATAAACTTTTTCTATATTTATATTATTAATATAAGTAAGAATTATTTTATTCTCTTTATTAGTCATTTGGGTACTTGATATTTTATATAAAAAAAGTTTTTTTTTTAAACTTAGTTATTTTGATTTTAAAAAAGCAAAAAAATAAAATAATTAGATTAAAAATATTTAAGTATGAGGTAAATCATTTTTTTATTTATTTATATATATTGATATACAGATTAGACATTACTTTTATCCTTTATTATACATATTTAAGAATGCCTAATTTTCAAAGATAATTGATATTTAAAGTTAGTAATATAATAATGTTAAAAACTTATATAATTGTAATAATTTATTAAAATTATATTATTATATATTATAATTTATATTTATAAAAACTTTTTTTTTTAAATTTATTAAAGAGTCAAGTGTTAATAAAACAATTTTATTAAATATTTCATCTTTTAATAAAGCTAAATATTAATATTCAACATCTAAATAGCCTTAAATAATAACAATACTAAATCAAATAAAGATATATTATATTATAATTTTTAAAACTTTTTACAGTATATTTTTTATATTAATTAATTAACTTTATGATATAATTATATTTAATTTATATATAGTCAATTCTATATCAATATTTAAAATTCTATTTTAGTATCTTATATTAATTTTATTTCAACAACAATATTTATAACTATTTATATTAAAAAGTAATTTTTATTTAAATTAAATATTCCTATTACTAAAGATGTGATTTTTCAAAGTCTATTTACTTATATATTTCCTAAAGATCTATTAACTGAAAAACAATTTGTTATCAAATTATTATTAGATATTAAAAGTAAAATTTATTTGCCTAAGCAAACTATAAGCAAATTATTTGTAGATAAGTATGTTAATATTTAGATAGATATAAAGGATATTGATATAAAATTTGATGAATTATTTGATTAATATATTTATTTTTTATATTTGTTATTAGTATATAATACATATTAAGAATTTAATATTTAAGATTATATATATTAATTTTTTATTATGTTTTTAAACTTGAAATAACTAAAATATATATAGTGGCTTCATTATCTATATTACTGATGCATAATGCTAATAAATTTGATTTAAAATTAATATACATATATATAAAATTAATTAATCATATCTTATTAAAAGTACATTAAATATAAATAATATATTAATACTGTAAAATACTATACATATTATTATTATATAAAATAAATTTATATAAAAAAACTATAATTATATACTATTGTTTATATTCTGCATATTGATAATATGCACATACTAATGTTTTACTAATTATTATATAAACAAAATTTAAAACATTGAAGAATTTTTTATTGATTCTTCTCAAGTTCTATTTTGTCACAAGTAATTTTTTATATAAAAAAGTTTGCTTAATCTATATAATTTATTAAATTAAATATATTATATATTGCTTACAGAATTAAAATCTAATAAGTATACTAATAAAAATTCTAATTGAACTTCTTTTTTTTTTATAAAGATCTTATAGATATCGAATTTTATTTATAGATATATTATCTAAAACTAATATTTTATATTGTTTAGAAAATAGATTTATTTTTAATAACTATGATTTATTAAAATATAATTAATGATACTAAACATATTAATACATATTAGTATATTAATATAATAAAGATTTTTACTAAAACATATTTATTAAAAGTTTTATAATTAATAAAATTTATAGAACCTTCTTGAATACAATAAACTAAAAAACTATTAATACACAATGCATCTGCTATAGTAAATCATCTTTCTTAAACAAAAAATATAAATTTTTAAGCATACAATCTTAAAAAATTTAAACTATAGCATCATGATAGTGTTTTTTTATTATAAGTAGTTTTGTTTGAAAAAACTAACTTGGTATATACTAAGATATTTATAAAATAAAATTGTTTTTAATAACTTCATTTCTTTCTTTTATAAGTTTTGAAATTTATAGAATTAAAATTTATAAAATAATAATATGTATAAATATATAAAATATTACTTTTTTGTGTGTATATTCAAATTAATGTATAACTCTCCAAATTGTTATAAGACTAATATTATATCCCAACCAAAGTTCTATCTCAGATTGTAATTTATACAATTACTAGTCAGATTTTTCTTTTATTAAAACTTTAAGATAATTTATATCTTTT